GTTTAAAGTAGCCTGCAGTAACAAACAGCTACTATCTACAGCATTACTAAAACGTAAACACGTTGTAAGCATAAAACATGGAAGGCACACAGTGAGGTCGTGTCACTAAACGCTCATAATTTTCACAAGATTTGTATGTATTTCAGCCACATATAATAAAGAAATAAATTACAGTTTTACTGTAAATTTACCAAATCATTTATTAAGCTGAGTTCTCTTATACAAATGACTACTTCCGCTTAACAATTAAGTACGTTGGTTTGTTTGATTTTTACCTTCCGCTTTTTTTGTTACTATGTGCGAATGCAAAGCATATATGATGAATTTTTCTCATTTTTCGTTGAAGTATTATACCTGTGAGTTGCTAATTCTTTAATTTGCGTTTGTACTGTTACATATAGATTTATAATCTCTGCCGGTTTTGATTAACACTGCACATAGGACGGTGGAATCGGCTGGTTTCTAGATGTCCTTTCCATTAGAAGGAACAGTACCGGATAAGAGAATAAAAAGAAACCACTTATTGACTGAAGAAAATACTGACCATATTGTATCATTCACCAAGAATATAAATTTGAAAACTAGCCTAGAAAGCTGATGTTACGGCTTTCTCGGCAAGAACAGCCACAAAGTTAATAACAATTTGCCCATATAAATTAAAACAGTGCATTTATAGCAACCAAGAAATCCAGCTGCAAGGATACATTCTTGCAACTGATTTGTCTAATGAGTGAATTAAGGTAACTTGACCCACAATTACTGCCTTTACTGACGAAGCCTGGGTTCACGTAATTGGATGTGTGATCATCCATAATAACTAACACTGGTCCTCGGAAAATCCTTGAATTCTCCATGAAGCTCCAGTTCATGATGGTGTTTGGTGTGAAATAAGTGCAAGGCGAATAATTTGTCTTATTTTTATGAGCATTCTGTACGAAGGCTTTTTTACCTCTATCATGCACTACTATTGGTATTTGTCCTTTTGACCATGAAGTTTATCATCAATCCATTCAAATGGTGTATGTAATCCATGAATGTAGGTTTCGTCCATATAAACTATGGGGCGACCTTCGTACCTACATGTCCGAATGCATCTGAAGTAGATTCTCTGTGCTGTGATGTGATGCCCCATAGAATTCGGCCATTATTCTTTTCTTCTTGTTCCACTTAAAACCTAAGGTGTGCAGAACTTGTCATAAAATTGATAACCTTCTGTTGCAATCTCTTGTTCGTCTTAGGTGGCGACTGACTTGTAACATTTACTTGTAATGTAACATTCGCGGCGAGCATGTTACATTACACCACAACTGGTGAGGCGTATCGAATGCTCGTTTTGAACGCTCGTCAAAGTTTTTATATAAATATGTGATGTAGAAAAGAACAATGAAATCAAATTTTCATTTTTTCCTGCAGGTTTTGGATTTAATGTAATATGTATGTGATCACCCACTTAGTTCTGAACATTTTTTTATAGTGTACTGACCGACCTTGTCTCTTCATTCAGTCACTTGCCTACTGCATCACAAAAAGTCTAAGGCTCGATGCACACGAGCGGGAAAATGTCGCGCGAGCTCGCAGCGAGGAAACCCGTGACAGTGCACACGTAGCGTCATCGCTGCGAGTTCGCCGAAAAACTCCCACCAGTACTAGATTGAATGGCAACCAAAATGGATGTGTACAGAAGAAAACGTGTAGTTTTGCCTATTTCGTTTATGAATACAACCTTAAAAAACGCAATAGGAAGTATTGGACACACCCGTTGGTTAGTTCACGGCTGTTAAAAGGGGCGGTCGTGACAATGTTTATAGATTTAAGAGAAGATGAAAGTAAATTTAATATTTATTTTCGTATGAGCTTAAAGTCGTTAGATGAGCTAGCAGCAAAACTGGATGCATCCAACAAAAGTAAAGATTCTGCGATGAGGCTTGCAATACCTCCTCTAGAAATGCTGGTTGTGACTCTGAGCTGTTGCGAGGGTTGCGAAGCACGTGTGCACTGCCCAATGCTTTCACACAGTCTGCTGCTTCGCGGCGATCGGCGAACTCGCTGCGAAGCAGCAGTGGTTGGCGAGCGCAAATTGCTCGCCGCGTCTTCGCGGCGAACTCGCGGCGTCACCGCCATAGTGTGCATTGCTCCATTGCTTCACATGTACTGCTAAAACGCTCGAGAAAATGACGCGGCGAGCTCGCGAAAATAACTCGCTCGTGTGCATCGAGCCTTACATTACAGGCAAATGTTACAAGTCAGTCGCCACCTTTAGACGAGCCTCTGTCCGTCTGTGATATAGAATTCGTTCACTGTTCGGCGAAATACAGATTCATTAAGTGTCCAATGATGCCTTTATAGATTTTATAGTCTTCATTTTGTGGGGCGTATAAAATTACGTTGATGTAGCAAATGTAATACTGTGAAGTTTATGAATAATCCGGCCTACAGACTTTTTTGTTACACCTGTAGCTTTGCCTATTTTGTTCCGAATTGCCGTAAGATTAATAGGAGTATCAATACTAGCTTCCCTCTTTATAGATTTGTCAACATTACCTACCAACTCCCGCGATTGGTTATAGAGAACTTTGCATTTTAACTTGCTCAAGAGTAGGTGGTATGATCAGTGCAACTTGAATCTGCACATTGAAACCTATTTACTCATTGTAGCATAAATAACCCATACACATCCCTTTACCTATGTCACTGGACTCGTCCTTACTATACCGCATCGTATTTACCGCAGCCACGGCAAAGAAATAGAGCGGTTTTTGCCCTAAGGGTTGCCATACACGTTACGAGTTACCGGAAGGCTGGTGTGTGGGAGGGCTAATCTTCCGGCAAACCGGAGCGTGTGTGGTGAATTTTGCTGGAATGTTTGGCCGGAAATCGAGCTCCGATAAATCTGCAATCATTCGATTTTTTTACCTGGAGGTTTACGCGGATGTTTACACGTCGTAACACTGCCTTGCACAGCTAATATTTCAGTAAATATTTTTGTTCTAATGTTCTAATTGCAGGTATTTGAATCAATGTCTATGACTTACCTTGCAGTATTCTTTTCAAAGAACCATGTAAATGGTTGTGCATGATACTGGAATAACTTCCCATAGTGCTTGTGCTGAGATTGCCACCGAGAACTTTAAATCCTCATAGTTCCTTCCAGTGGCCAGAAACCTTAGGGTAGCGCGCAACCGTTTATGCGGAGAAATTGCTGTTCTTATTACGGTATCTTCCTTCCCGATAACTGGAGAAACAAAGTTTAAAAGCTCCAATCCTCATCCATTTGCAGGTTGTTATGCCAGTCCGTGGGCTCTAACTGAATTTTATTCAACAAATTTATGTTAGAATGTTTTGGTCTATCTAACCAACATTTGACCCACTTAGAATGTTTTAGCTTTCTTTTCTTTTTCGGCATTAAAGTAGCAGTGAATCATCTTCACTGAACATGTTGTAGTATCAACTGAACAATGAAATACTGAGCACAAAACTACGATAAAGTCTGTACGTGTGGGCCCTCAGAGGTTTCAGACTTACTTTCCGACTTTTATCTTCGAAGGCAGGCCTTCCGGTGAGGCGTAGCGTGTGGCCATCCTAAGAGAAAGAAGTAACAAGAGGATGGACACAGTTACATAATGAGGAGCGGCATAATGTTTACTCTTTGTTATAGTGATTGCATCGAGGAGACGGGCCGGACATTTAACATTTCTTGAGACGAGAAATACAATTGTTTTAATCGAAAAACGTGAAGACAAGTGATTATTTTGAGTTCATGATGTTACGGCACGATAATATTAAAATATTTTAAATAAATTTGGCGTTAGGACGTGGAGTAAATTTATCATGCGCAAGATTAGGGCCAATAATGGGATTTGGTGAAGACGAATTGACCTTCATTTTCTTTCAAATGCAAAAAATTTCTATGCCGCTTGAGAAGTTACCTCTCTTCTCAGGAGGGATTCCGTTTCATTGAATTAGGTAAAAAAATACACTGTTTTATGGACTTGTACACAGATACGTCAGAAGCCTACATCCGTCTGTTGTTCTTGTTTCCTGTGTTTTGACGGTTTATTTTTTGTGAAAGTTATAGGCCTCTCCATGTTGTAATATGCGAATGCCGTCCCTTTTCTATCTGAAAATAAACACTGAACATGATGATGATGATGATAATAATAATAATAATAATAACATTCGAAGAAGATGCTTCTGTATCAATAAGGTATCTTTATTTTAACTTGTCTGACTTGTATTCTTGCTGTCGAGCCTGAGTTAAGTAGAGGACATTCTCACAGAGGCTTTCGTAAATGTTTTTCATCAAAAAATAATTTCAGTGTATTGCCTTTAAGTAGGCCACGGCCGCTTCCTTCCGACGTACCATCCATCGGCTGAACTGATCGTTACCAAAAGATGTTACTTTAAATGCGTATTTTTACAGTAAAATATGAAACTTCAGTTAAACTGCACTTACCTTGTTGCAATATCCAGTATAATATCGTAATGATATTGTTTGGATCATTAAATTAAATAGTGAGATATAGTCTAATACCAATGTCACTTACCCCTCTCACACACATGTTTATTTATTTATTTATTTGTTTTTATGGAACAAGTAGTCTTAGCTCCCTATCGAGACATCGAACTGAACATTGCGACGCACTGGTTAACACTCCCGCTTCTTGCAGAAAGTTGATTATCCTCATGTTTCTCGTGTTTTCCTCAAAACTCTCCAGGCCAGTTGTATTGCTATAGATAAATATAATGTCTTCCGTTTTTATGGTTCATCTTCTTGGTTGTAATGCCGTGTGGCCGTGTAGGTAGATACGAAGTTTTCAGAGATGCAGTTTTAGTCCTGAAGTGTAGGCTTTATGTTCCACCAAAACGTTGCTTTATACTTACAAGTCCACACGGCGTTACAACCCAGAAGATTGGCATCAGCTAACAGAGAATTGATCAGATTTCGAAGCGACAGTTCCTGGATCTCTGATCGCACTGACCTGAGAACCATTCTGTTGCAGGACCAACATGCCAGCACCGACATAAACGATAATGACGACGACCCAATGCCGAGGGACAACGGTGACAACAAGCATGGCACGCGTTGTGCGGGTGAGGTGGCCGCCGTCGCTTTCAACAGTTACTGTGGTATCGGGGTCGCCTACAACGCCAGTATAGGAGGTAGGTCCACACTGAAGACCTGGTAAGTTCCTTTCCTGGGTCTTGTGGTTTATTTTCCCCATCACTTAATATTTCTCTAAAGGTTCGTTAAAATGATCAATTACGTCAATATTATGTTGGAGATCGTCCACGTCTGAAGTGTGATGTACACTACGTTTCGGGAGTTGGTTCTACTCTAGACTTCAGGCGAATGGTTGCCAATATACTGATACACTGACAGGTTTCTATTGTGTTCATTTCGGAAAGGAAAATTTTAGTGGTTGTAGGAAGAATTGTGGCATATTTTGGAATGCGAAGGAACGAAGGACTGGAGAGAAATTGTACTGGGAAAAAATAATATGGGAATATAGGCATACAGAGGTTAGCGCGGCGTAAGGGCACAGAAAAGTGAGACAAAATTGGTGCATATATTTGCAGATTCAATGAGAAATGGGAAAGGACACTTAAAAATATTAAATGTAATGCGTGCATAATTATAGATTTTAAAAGAGGTAATAAACCCGGATTTAAGTAAATATAATGAACAAGTAGACAATAAAAGGACATGACTTCCTTAAAGGTAAAGAATATGACGGAAAAGTAAAATACAGACAACAGATCTTAAGTTAGAGATTTAAATTAATGTGAAATGGAAAGAAATTTATTATAGACTATAGGCTAGAGGTATAAATTATGAAGAAACCTTTTTAGAAATTAAGAATATGTACTAGATTATGTAATGCAGCAGGTAAGGGACCATTTATTGTTCTCTGAATTGTGTATGTGATAGACTTAATAATATATAATATCATATCATCTTGTCGTCTTCCTTATTAAAGGTTAGTGACTGGGATTGGGCCGATCTAATGGTCAGCTCTCTATAATAATATTGATACAGCCCTAAGTTTGATTTCAACCGACGCCACTATGGCAGATAGTGGGAAATTCCCAACTTGGTGACCGAGTGAACCAGTAAGGGACCTTAAAAAATGTCGTACTTGTGCTTCTACTTTCACGGTACGGTTTCTGTACCTCTCCTAATCTCTGTAGAGCTGTTAGCAGTAAATTTCATGTTCTGAGGAAATTAACAGTGAAATACGTGACAAACTTAAGGTCACTAATAGTCGTGGTTATATAGACTTGTAGGATCACATGAAGATGTCCTGTAGACAATAAATGAACGAATTTTAAGTTATGCAATGTTTCTTAGTTGTTATCTACATGTTTCCTGTCACTTTTAAATTTTTGAAGGACTTTACCATAATTATTATATTTGTTTACCGTCAAATCACAATAAAATAGTAAGATAAGATAATTAAAATGATTAAAATATCATCTTATGTTCCATATCGAGCATTCGATTTACATCGGAACATTCACAACATGTTTCGGTTTAACAAACCGTCATCAGGTGTAAATTATAAACTTTTAAACTCAAATTACAATTATAGTTTTACTATTTTATACTTTTATCATCTTTCTCATTATATTTCTTGGAAGTTGTGTTTAGATATTATTAGTATAACATTATTACTATCTCAGGACTTTACCAAGCAATAGACAGAAGTTGATTTTGGGGGTCCTTATGACCGGATGATACGGCAGGAATATATATGTAATATTTGTATCTTAGTTACCCACACAACACGATGAAACCTTTCAAGAATACAATTCTAAAGCTCCATAATGTTACTTACCTTTCTACCTAATAATGGAAAACGTATGTTGCTTACTTTTAATACTGATATCACAGTCCATCTCAGAAGTTCCACGACACGATACCAATTTTGGTACTGTAACTGTTGGTTAATTACGAAGTGTGATGACCTTGAATGATGTAATGTTCACACCAAGTTACAAAACAAAATTATTGATTCAAAGTAATTAGAGGAACACGGAGAGATATACAAGAATACAATTATATAAAAAGTATTTCTTCTCCCACAGATACCTTCTTACGATTCCTGTTATTTGTTGAATAACATAAATTGTCGTGTTGCTTTGTACCGAATGACAAACTGGAAGTTTATCAGAGCCTTTTATTTTAAGGTTACACACTACCATATATTTTGACAATCTATCGGCATACAGCATTTCAGAAGTCTACAGTGACTGGTAGAAGTTGATCCAATGTTACTGACATGCTCGGCAGCTAGATTGCTACTTAAAGAATGACGATGATGTCGTCTTCAATGACACAACTTTCATACCGAGTTTGTCCAAAATCGGCCAGTAATGTCCTATAAAATTTAATAGAATAGTCAAATCAGGAGGCGGACTGACGGACACTCTCCGTTCCATAGGGGGGTTATGAAGGACGACCCGATCTCTTATTTTTCGTCTTAAAAATTATGGTTAATTTCATTACCATATGGCTAACTGGAACCAGTTTAAAAGTCATATGAATAGGTCATGAGAATATTTGTTGTGGGCATTGGGAATTAAGACGGTTTCTTTACTGGCGACTCTGTGCTGTAAGGTCAGGTAAGGCCATAGTCCATATTCCAGGTGGACGTGACCTCACTTCCTGTTACAGAATATTAATAATGTAATGCCAATTACATAAAAATCTGTACTAATTAGCTGAAACTGAATTGATGTGAAGTTGCCAAGAGGAGCAGGAGATAAATTAATTAGTTAATTAGTATAACTCAAAATATATTCCGGTCGGATACGTATAGGCGATACAATAGTTCGATCCCAAGTAAATTATGGAATTCCCACAAGTGGTTAACAGACAATTTCTGCTTCTATTTCAAGATTGTGATCTTCTGGATTACGACTCCGTGTATCCTGGCTTTATTTGGAAAAAAATATTTAGTACAAAATATGGGATTCAGAGCCTTGAGAAATCTTTCCAAATGTAACTCAGGACTGGAAAGGTTGTGATCCGTACTGGCATACGGTCATACTTTATTTGTAAATTCTCACTTATTAATCAAATACTCAGACAGAGACAAATTGAGTTTCCAACTACAAATCATGGGGTTTTGCTTGATTATTTAAGTAATTAAATCAATGACGGTATGTCACTAGGCGCGTAGGGTCTGTGGTAGCGGAGTATGTCAGACCGCCAACAGCAAAACTCGGTGTTCGATACGTATCCCTATGCCAATAGAGATTCAGTGTACTCTCGCACGGTGTGTAGTTCAAACGAGAAGGGCGGTAGTGTCGAGTGGCATTCAGTCGCTTCATTTAGCCGCGTATGGTTTTTTGTTTATCTCTGCACCAGGCTCCTACAGGACATGTGAAGAGCGCAGGGTGCCTTCGAATATTAGCCTGTCAACAACTATGTTTTTTCTTATAGTACACTACCATTATAGGTTCAACATATACTCCGTGTTTCGCTATTTCTATAGCTTACATTAACTTACATAAATTTATGTTACATGTAACAAACTCATTTAGCGGCAGACGCGGTGTAACAGAAAGGTGGGGCCGAACTTTTGGTATGGGTTCGACACGGTAAAACTAAGAAAAGTGTTCATGTCAACATGTATACAGAAAACCCCCCTTTTCGATTTAGGATGCACTTTTCTACATTTTATAGTTAATGATCCAAATTCCACCGGAATTTTCGACACAGCACTGAGCAAGTTCTGTCATGGACACCCGAACACGTTTGGAAATTCCTGGGGCGTTTCGGATTGTCTGATAGACATCTTAAACTCGCTGCAGAAGAGTTGCTATGGTCATTTACTGGAGTTACATAAAGTAGGGTGTTAAGTGTCTCCAGAGATGAAACTCAGTTGGGTTTGGATCAGACGAGCGGGGGCCACTCAGTAGGCCCTCCTTGATTTCTCCATCGGGCAAGATATATGTCTTCCGAGAGTTACGGATCTGTAATCCCGAAATGCGGTGGAGCACCGTTGTGCTTGAACCACGTGTGCTATAATAGGTAATGAAATGTCTTCCATTTCAATAGAAAGTCATTTTCTCACAAATGTCGATAACTGTTTTATATTAACCTCTGTGGCTTAACATTGTGTCTACCAAAATATTATCAACAGTGGCTGAGTAGATTTAATAAGAGCGTTAGGATTTTCCTCTGCCCACAAGTGGTGGTTGTGAAAATTCGTTGGTCCATCGTGGCGAAAGCTGCATCTGTAAGCAGCAGTGGATAAAGAGCGTTCAGCAGACATCGCTGCAACATCCATTTACTGGAAATTTAGCCGGACCGAGATCTGGACACTGCAAGTGGTACAGGTGTAACAGCTGTCGGTATAGGTCTCTGCAGACGGTCATGTGATACACGTTCAGTTGCTGCTGTAATTTTCAAACAGGATCGTGTGCAGTTTGGTGTCGGATATCCTCCTCTAAATTTGGTGTTTGGATAGACAATCCCCAGTTTACGGAAATAAACTGAAATATTACTGTCTTTCGTAGGCGACGAGCAGTTTTGACAAACGCTGCCTAAATGGAAGTACCGCTGAGGAGATGCATGGTCTCTCTGCTGTTGCCATAAGTACGCATGCCCATGAACAAAATGCATGTTTTATACCACATCGTAAGTGTATACAACATATTCTTTTTCACAAACTGAATTATTATTCAATGCTAACACTGAAAATTTGACGTTGTGTACCCCATCACCAATCAAATAATGATTGGTTCCGTTGGTAGGTTCTGCTAATACTGATTTGCATCTCCAGGCGACTGTGTTGTATGGTCGTAGAACCACGTTGCTGTCTGCTCGTCGTACCTTCGGAGGAAAACTGCGATAGTCGGAGCAGATCATTTTCACGTGATGGAATGGAAAAGAATGGTTTTATTCTTAAACGAATCTTTTATGGACCGATGTTGATATGGCTTTTCTTTTTCATAATTTTTAAATAATATCTGAAACAGCTATAATGCTGATACGGAACCGAGGAATGCAACTTTAGCTGGGACGAACCACTTTTTTCGGACGGTACCAAATTTCAACCTCTGTCGAATCGCTGGCTGTCCTGAAAGTGTCTTTGAGGGGAAAGGGAAGATTGGCAATCCTCAGTACCTTGAAATAGGCCTTGACTATTTCCTGTCCAGTTACTTCGTGTTCATCCCATATAATGAGCCTCATATTATATGAAATTAATAACCTATACAGTTGATACAGCAATAAGAAGCACCCACAGTAGTACCTACTCCTGTTACTTTTGCTCTTAAAGGACTGTAAAATAGTAACTACTGTGGTAGTGTAATGTGAATTATTGCTCGCATTCCGAAGTTGACCACGTGCATTTCAAATATTCGCTTTTTGAAGGTCGCTGTTTAAGAGTGGAAAGAATACGGAAGGTTTTCTGGCTTGCCTGTGAACAGATATCGATTTCAGACGGACTGTCGGTTGCAGCGAAGAGTATTTCATGTATTTTGATATGCGAATGTTTGAAAAGGATTTCCAATCTCAACGACATTGCATTCTCATCGATTGTTGCCTATCATACTTTTCCATTTCAACAAAATTTGGTTTTCATGAAGGACCGTTGTGCTGGAAAATAAGACTCTCACGTGGCACCTATTCAAATTTCAAATCGAATGGAAAAAAGAATTGGATGTAATATTCTACATGAGGACGATTTATGTTCTTGGATGTTAAAAGTGCAGCAGGAAACACATCACAAATGCAGAAATACTAAAGCAGGATTCTTCAAGTTCCGCCGCAGTTTAAAAAAATGTGTTGGTTTTAAAGTTTATAAATTTTTAGCGTGTATTTTATCTTCTAAATGTTATATTATTACTATTTTTATACAGAGTGGGAAAATGAGAGGGAACACCATAGTGTCTGTGCAGTGATTACGAACTTCCATTGAACCTGTTGATGGCCAAACTGGGCCGAAATATGTACTTAGAAAAAGAAAATACAAACAAAAAGACCGAACACTCGGAAGAGTGAGTGTGTCGAAGTTGCTGTATTAACAATCATCAAGAATTAGTATGGGGACGCTGCAATTTGAAATGCAGGCCTGTACTCTTAAGAGTTACATAAACGTTCTCGTGAAAGACGGAAAATAATGTAGTTCAAGATTCTGAGCTGAGTGTTAATGTTGGTAACACGTACTCTCTTATCTGAATAGAGTTCACTAAAATTGTGGATATGTATACAATTATGTTCACGTATAGATCGAGAAGGGATCCACCCGTTTGTCTCAAACTCACCGTGCTTATGCTTTGAGAGTATCAAAAATATTTTAGAAAGGGCAAAGCTTCGAAAAATTGCACTGAGTTCAAGTCTTAGTGAGGAGGGTTTGTATAGCTCGGACGCTGAGATCAGAATTATTTGTTTCAGCGGGAGATTGCAAAAACAAAGGCCAAGAACTATCGCATATGGAGTCTTGCTTCCCCTTAATCCTTTCTGTCCCCCCCTCTTACTGTGACATATATATATATATA